CGAATACGTGGGAAAGCGGTTAGAATCTAGAAAAATGTTTGGTAGTCCAACTTGTGGGCAATGGAGTTCTGGTTTTCAACAATGGGAAACACCTCCAAATCAACCACAGTGGGATACACCTCCAGCTGCACCACAGTGGGGAATACCGCCAAATGCCCCGCAATGGAGTTCATCTTCAAATGCTCAGCAATGGCTTACACCACCAAATACTCCACAATGGGTGTACACCGCCAAATGCTCCGCAATGGAGTTCATCTTCAAATGTTCCGCAGTGGGGTACACAACATGTTCCACAATGGGGTGCACCTCAAAATTCTCAACAATGTGGTTCATCACCAAATACTCAACAATGGGGTTCATCACCAAATACTCAACATTGAGGTCCTACATCTGCTGTTCCACAATGGGATTTATCACCGACCACTCATCAATGGGGTTCATCACAAGATGCTCCACAACATATTCCTCCAAGCAATGTTCAACGTGGATTTTCCCAAGAAACAGAAGTACAAACTACAACAAATGAAAAGGAAAATCATGTTTCTGAGAATGTTGTCAGAGGAGTATCACCAGAATTTGGTTTCACAAACTATGCTTCTACAAGTTTAACATCACGTCCAAGAAGAGGAGAATTATTCAACATATGGGAATTTGAACGAGAACTAAATCTAAATGAAACACATGAAAGTAATTCCACATCAGATAACTAGTTTAATAAGATTTGTGTTTTGTTAGTAGTGGTTATGTTTTGTTTCAAATTATATTTTGTAATTTCTGTTATTGTGTTATATTTTGGTTAATTATACTTTTCATTGATTATGTCTTTATTTTATGATAAAAAAACTTTCAGGATTTTCGTATATGTCAGTTGCGATCACAAAATCCCCATAGTCTAACTCATGATGAGAGAATTGAGTTATGGAATCTGAAAAATGAGCGATTTGAAGAGTAATAATTCAACCATCACTGAGTTATTACAATCGTTATTTTGAAAGAGGACCAGGTTAAACCGGTGGCTGTTTAGGGTGGAGAAATATTTGGGGTCGATTACAAGTAGATGATGCTGCATGTCTTCAGTTATTACGAATGTCTCTGGATGCTTTTAGATCTCTTTGTGACATATTGCAATCAAAATATGGTTCGCATCCTATGCTTAATATTAGTATCGAAGAGAGTGTAGCAATGTTTTTGCAAATTTGTGGGCATAATGAAGTTCAAAGAGATGTTAGATTATGGTTTGGACGAACACATGAGACAGTGAATAGAAAGTTTTTTGAAGTTCTTAGGGCGACATAGTTACTTGTTTGTGATTATGTCAAGACTCCAGCAAGAAAAGAACTACTTCGAATTCCTGAAAGTCTGCAAACAGACAGATGATATTGGCCATATTTTAGTAGATTTGTTGGAGCTATAGATGGAGTTCATGTATGTGTTAAAGTGAAGCCTGAACTACATGAAATGTACTGGAATCGACATGATAGGACATCGTTTAATATCATGGCAATATGTGATCAAAATATGTTGTTTACATATGTTTGGAATGGAGCACCCGGATCTTGTCATGATACAACAGTTCTCACGATAGCACAAGACAGTGATTCTGAATTTCCTTTGCTTCCAGCAAACAAGTATTATGTAGTAGATTCTGGATATCCAAATAAGCGAGGTTTTTTTGGCTCCCTATAGATCTTTTCAGAATGGGATTATTAGGTATCACATGTCTCATTTCAACAACGGTCCTCCTCCTAAGAATAAACAATAGATGTTTAATCGATGTCATGCATCTCTACGTTCTGTTATTGAAAGGACATTTGGAGTTTGGACGAAGAAATGGAGGATTCTGAGTGATTTTCCCAGATCTTATATTGCAGTTCAAAAAAGAGTGGTAACTGCTACAATGAGACTACACAATTTCATCAGAATTTCAAATTATTTTCATGAGGATTTTGTTGAAGTAATGAGACACAAATTTCAGCAACGAAGATTCTGAAAGTGATCCTCGTGATTTGGAGACAACAAATATGGCGGATGGAAATCATATGATGAACATTAGAGACAACATCGTAGATATGTTATGGGCAAATCATCAAATTATTTTACCTTTATTTATGTATTTTTTTCATTATGTATTTTGATATTTTGGTATAGTTTTTTATCATTGACATACATGATCTGCATTTTTTGAACTGATTTTATTATTCCTAACTTCTAGAATAACTTGTTCTGCTTGATCTGCATCTCTCCTGCTTGATCTACATCTCTTCTGCATGATTCGCTTGATCTGCACTTGTGTTGCTTGATCAGCATGATTTCCTGGATCTGTTCTGCTTGAACTGCTTTTACCATTCGGAACCTTAGTTATGATTTTTTTGTATGCATTTCCTTAGGAAATGAGAATCAATGATGTAATCCTGCTGGGAATGTTTATTACAGTAATGGAAGTTATTAAAAAAAAAATTATCAGAGTAAAACGCTGACAAAATTAAATTATCAGAGTAAAATGAAAAAATGGAGTACTAAATTCGAAAATATTTTATGCATCGGCCTGCATACATGCATGCTTTAGCTAAAGCTGGGAGAGTAGCCAAATAAGAGAATTTTTCAAGTTTGAATTTGTTCATTTGGAATATGGGTTCTTCTACTTCATTTTTATTTACTTATCTTAATAAAGATTATAATTATATCCATCATTTATGTATTTTAAATTTATGTAATTTTACTTAGTCCCTTTATATTATTTATTTTAATTAGTTATTTTAGAAATTAGGTTTTGATTTTTTTTTTAAAATATAAGTATGTAATAATCAAAGATTCTCTTTTTTCTTTTTAGAACAAAAGCTACCCTAAGTAACTGGTCCTAACGGTTAAGAAAGCTAAACAAGAGGTATACAATGGACATATAATACAGCTGAAGGAGAACGCTTTGTACTCTGTACAAGCTTGTCCGCCATGATGTTAATTCCTATATTTTTTCTCTTCTAATTTCTCTCTTGAGCAAAGTGTGTTTTTATTGCATGATTATTGATCAAGATTAGACAAATTTTCATGAAACAAGCTTTAAAGGTAGTTACCACCATGTCCTGATCACTCTTTTTTAACGTATATCTAAGAATTCATCTGAAGTGAATTTTAATGGTTGTAACTACCAAATCCCATTCGATTATTTTTTGTTGGAATCATCATGAATTAAGCTTTAATGGTTATAACCACCAAATCTTTGTTTGATTTCACCTAACTAAAACATATTTTTTTTTCGTAGTCACTGATTCAATTGCAACAATTTGTAATGTATCTTACATTTGTTTTAGTTTGTTTATAAAAAAATAAAATTAAAATGGAGGAATACATCTTTTTAACATGTCTTGCACCAGTCAAATTTTGTTTTATCAAAGTTTTGATATAAATGAGTTAATATCTTTGTTAAAATTGTTTCATATTTGATTCAAATATTGTATGATTGATGTAACAACCCGTATTAGTTTTGTTAATTTAAATATTTTGCAAGAGGATTGAAGATATGAAATCATCTACTTATACAAGCGAATACCAAATATAATAGGCCAATAAAGAAATGTAAAATCTAATAATGCAGTCACAAGTAATCAACTTGTTTCGGCTTTTGAGATTAAGAGACCATCAATTTTCTACTTATTAGATAGTATTTTCTTGTTGTTCAAAAAAACAGTATTTTCTTAAACAAAAGATATCATTTTGGTCAGTGAACAGCTTCTTACTTTTCTAATGATAAAAAAAGTCTGCCCAGACCATAAAGAATCGTAAACTGGAGCTGGAAATGGACAGAGACCCATATCTCTGGCTAATTTGGTATATTTGGGAGGCTCGCAATGATAAGCTGTTCAGAGGTATCGATAGAGACCCTCTGGAGTTAGCCCGGTACGCAGAGAGTGAGTGTCAAGCCTGGTTTCAAACAAATGAACATATTATATTGCCAGATCAAGGTAACATAGATATCGACCAGACCATAAGTCTGTGAGACATCTGTATGGTTGACGGTTCTTGGATACCTACAGATCAATTCAGTGGATGTGGATGGGTATGGAGTGACAGTATGGGAAATAGCCAGCTAATGGGTATGCGTAACTTCAGTAGAATGGAGTCTGCTTTGCACTCTGAGCTGGAAGCACTGCGGTGGGTAATGGAGAATATGCTTCAACATTCGCCATGTCAAAGTTCTGGGACGGATTGCAAGGAGTTAATAGCGATGCTTAGAGATCCTCATGGTTGGCCAAATTTCTCAACGGAGCTAGAAAAGATCATGACGCTGCATATTTGTTTTCCAGATTTCAAGATTTTCTATGTTCCTAGGACGCAGAATGGTGTTGCTAACTCTTTAGCTAAATCTTCTCGGTCCTTTTATCGAGAATTGTTGTATGTTGGTTGTTTTATTCCGGTCTGGCTTCCCAAACCACCTCAAGCTTGAGTAATAGATCAGTCTTTCGTTGTAAAAAAAAAAGAACCGCAATCACCTTCTTTTTTTTAGTACACTGAGGAGGTACCCTGACTCAAAAGTAAACTACTCGACATACATAGTTACAGTACATAACACATTGGGACAGAATCATGGAAGTGATTGTTGTCGATTCTCCACTAGACAAGTTGCGGCTTTTTATGTTATGTGATGTATTCCACTTTATTTGGTTGGAAAGGAACATGAAGACGCATAGCGAATTAGCGAGCCAGCAAGTCAAGCCACCAACCTTGTGTTCCAAAGCTTGGACAAGTTGCTAGACAGGTTTGGAATCGACTTATTTCTGTTCAAAAGCTTAGACAAGTTGGTTAACAGAAACTCGGTTTACTTGTCTATGAAAATAATTGAAATAACGATCTTCTTCTTATACTCAATATCTCTTATGTAATTTTAAGAAAACAAGAACAGAGTCACACCTGATGCAAAAAGGATTTGTTATGTTTAATTAATCTTACATTCGCTCAAAATATTCATATATAGATTAGTAGGTTTTGAATAAATTATTTTATTTGTAGATTTTGCAAGACAAAATGATTAATGGTCTTTAGTAATACATGAAGTCCAGCATCTCTACTTTGTGTTCAAATAACTGACAAGCCCATCCAATGCATTGTATGAGGAGCCTCCACTTTTCAGAGAGGCTTTGAGCTTTTCTTTCAAAACAAGTGCTCTCTCCCTCATCCCTGCACCTGCTTCATCCAAGATCAATCTCTTCACAGCTCCCTCCACCTCTCCTCTTTCCACTTCACCTTGAATCTGAATCCCTATTTCCCAAACACTTACTATGTACGCTGCATTTATCTTCTGCTCACTTTGAAAAGGCCTACAAATCAGTGGAACTCCTTCCACAATGCTCTCCAGTGTTGAGTTCCAACCACAGTGGCTCCAGAAGCCTCCCACCGCAGAATGTCTTAGTACTTCTATCTGCGGTGCATGTTTCACAATGTATCCTCTTTCTGAGATCACTCTACTGACTTCATTTGGCAATATCTCTATCCCGTCTGATTCAAGGATAGAGCCTGGTCTAATGACCCATAAAAAAGGTTGGTTGCTATTACATAACCCCCAAGCCATCTCCAAAACTTCCTTGGTTTCCATTTTAGCTACGGTTCCCACACTTATGTATATGACTGACCTCGGTTTCTGCTTGTTTAACCATTCAATGCAGCCCTTGTCCTCTTCCAGTAAACTAGCAGTAACGTGAAGAGGGCCTAATGCGTACACTTCAATTCCAAGTTCTTGTTTCAGCCATGACACAGACAAGCTCTCTAGACAACTCGTCGTATTAAAAATAACAGCTGAAGCTGTTCTTTTGTTGACTACTTCCCGACGAATCTTCAAAACTGGCTCCATTGGCCCGAATCCTGAAGGTAGCAGGTCTTTGTATTTTAACGGATGCAAATTCCCCACCACCTTTTCTTGCATTTCATGGTCTGCATAGTTAAGAAGAACAACCATGTTTTATTGAAACACTAGATAAGGCCCATGCATTGCAACGGGTTTTGTTTGATGTTTTAATTTAATAAAGAACATAAAAATAAAAACTAATTTTATTATAGATTTACGATTCTTTTTGCATAAGTTGTGTTGAGATTTATCTTATAGTCACAAACTCATTAATAGAATTGGAATTGAAAAATATACTAACAATAAAATTAGAATAATTTTTCAGAGGACATGTGGTGTCTGATTACGAGCATCTATTTTCTCCATATTATTTATATATCCAATTACATCTGTAAGAAAACCATTCTATACAATAATGTTATTTCAAGCAAAACTCATTACAAATACCCAATCATATGATAGAAATATACAATGTTCGACAACCAAATTGATACAAAAATTTGATATCAATTTATGAATATTACCATATATATATACCTGATGAAATCTTTCAGTTGAGTAATATCTTCATAATTTCGAAAAGAAAATTTTCAGGCGGTGTATGACGTAATTTTTTTCCACACATGCATATATTGGTCTTTGGTCAATCTTATCTGAAATGTATGATCTGAGAGTTTGTAGTTTTTATTGCAATTTTACAAATTAAAATTGCAGATTTCAATAAGGATTTCTTCACGTAACCCATCTCCCAACTTTTCAATAAGATGATAATGCACATAACCTTGAATAGTATTTTCCTACATAATAAAAAAATTATTTTAATAATGAAATTATATAAGATTTTTTTTAATAAATAAAATATTTACCTTCTCATCAAGTAGGAGAAAATTCATTCCTATAAGCTCATTATTCTTGTTTAAATTTCTTGCTTCCAATTTCTAATAAGATGTAATACAATACGATGGTAAAGAAGTTTCTTATTTAACTGATCTAGTGTTAAAACAGTTTTTGAAGCTATTGTTTCTTGATAAGATTCCTGGTAGCAAATTGAATTATGGTTTCATTTATAAATAATAAATAGAACGAACACACATAAGCATAAATAAACATATTAAAGTAGTATATTGGAGTTGTAATTAACTTACCAAGCATAACCAATTTGAGATGTTCAATACAAACAAACACACATAAGCATAATACCGACATTAACTTATGTTGTACAACATCGTAACTAAAAAAAATAATACGCAAAAATGTGCATTATGATGCAAAAAACTCACTTAATTGAAAAATATGAGAGAGCTTAGTCTTATTTATATATATATATATGAATAATTGCAATTTATTTTGGTTTATGATCTTTTTAATTAGGATTTGAATAAATAAAAATTAACATTAAACACTCTTTTACAAATTTCTGGTTTAAGATTTTTAAAGGATAATTAATACCAATTTGTTTTTTACAATTTTATGGTTTAAAATTAGTACTAAAGAACTTATTTTACAAATTGTTTTTGTATAGGATTTGTAAAAACAAAAATACTATTAATTTTTTCAAAATTTTTTGTTGCTATATGAATAATTATAGTTCTTTTTGGGTTATTATCTTTTTAATTAGGATTTGAATAAAATAAAATTAAGAATAAACACTCTTTTACATTTTTTGGTTTAATATTTTTAAAAACGATAATTACTTTCAAATTTTGTTTACAACTATTTTTTCTTAATGATTTTGGAAAATAAAAATTAGTATTTAATAAGTTATTTGTACATATCGTTTTTGGTATAAATTTTGTAAAAACGAAAAATTATATGATTTTATTCAAAAATTTGTGTTAATATGTAAATAATGATAGTTCTTTTTGGTTTATGATATTTTTAATTAGAATTTGAATTAAAAATTAACATTAAACGCTCTTTTACAATTTTTGGTTTAAGATTTCAAAAGATTTTAAAAAGGATAACTATTATCAAATATTTTTTACAATTATTTTTAATGATTTTATAAAAGGAAAATTAGTATTAACATTTGTCACAATCTTTGATATATAACAGACATGTGTCGCGGTCGTGTTAATTGGAAACTTTTGAAGAACCAAACTTATTATGTTTTTCATGATTTTATAAAAGGAAAATTAGTATTAACACATGTCACAATCTTAGATATATAACTGACATATGTCGCGATCGTGTTAATTATTAACTTTGAAGAATCAAGCTTTATATAATAAGATATGGTAATATGGTTTCAAAATGAGTTTGGTTTTGTGTACCTTCCATGTCGATCAAAAATTTCTCTGAATCAAGTTTACTAAAAACACAGCGTGAAACATGATTTGTAGCACTCTGAGTGCTGAAAATAACACTCGGAAGCTTGAACTCTTTAGCTATAGATCCACAAAAATATATGAACTCGTCGTAGATGATACAAGCAATATCATTGCCATGTTGCAGCAACAACTGACTTATACAGACCTTAAAGCTTGCCTCACTCGTTTTGTTGAGCTTTAACAAAAATTCAATTTGACCGTGTCCCACGACTTCATTCATTGACAAGCTTCTTGGTAAGGTGAAAAATTGAAAACCAGAAAATTGTTGCAGAGAGCTTACTAGATTGAATTGTACTTGAACAACAGTAATTGAAAACCCCTTTGAGTTAAGAGCTTCTCCGAGTTGCATCATTGGAGTTACATGCCCTTGCGATGGAACTGGGACTAATACTATCCTTCTCTTTGTTTCCTTTTTCTCCATTGCTTAATATCTCTCTCTCTCTCTTTCTTACTCATGCACCCCTTAATGGAGAACGATTCTATATAAGTGATCTAAATAATTAATAAAATGCCATTTGTATTAATGAAATATTCCACAATCTTCAAAAGATGCTATTTTAGTTATTCCTCATGTGGCATCTACCTTTTCTTAATGCAATGACCTTTCCACTTGCTACTGATGAAACAAAGAAGTAAATATTGTTTAAACCTACTGGCAAGTTTGTGTTTGTTTTGGTTCTTTTTTAGCACATGGTAGTCTTTGTTTTGAGATTTACCTAGTTATTAAAATATCAAGAAATTTAAATCTTCAAACAATAATTATTTCCCCGAAATGTAAATATTCTCTTTATTAAAAATTATATCCTCAAAGTAGCCACATGCATGGTTCTCCAATCTTGGTGAACTCATAGCATCAAATTACTTTTATATTATAATTTATTTATGTACTTTAAGAAGTGCAAATCTCACTGTTGGTATGTTCACGAGAGGGAGCAACGTTCGATATGGAAAGCTCTTTCCCTGAAATTTGGCAATAGGCTAATTTCCAGTGGACCATTTTAGAATCCAAACGTTTGTGAATCATAAAATATGAGGAAATTGGCAAGGACACTTGGCGTGCGTGGAGTTAATGATTAAGCTAGAACAAAGGCGAGACGTGAGTATAATTCATTGAATTTTATTAGGGGCTGAGAATGTGTCTTTTGAGTCCAACGGTTCAGATTTCATCTTGTGACATTCTTGTTAGCTCCCTATTTATCGAGAGACGACGAAGTCCCCTCAGAAGTTGCATTGCAATACATAACGTATAGAGAGTTTTCATTACAAAAAACGACCTGGTAGAGTAAAAGGGGATAAGACAATGTCGTGGCAAACTTATGTTGATGAGCATTTGATGTGCGATGTCGGTGATGGCCAAGGTCACCACCTCACCGCTGCCGCCATCATCGGCCATGACGGTAGCGTTTGGGCTCAGAGTGCTAATTTTCCTCAGGTTTCCCTTTCTCTCTCTCTTCCTTGATGGTCCATGACCGCGTTCTTGAAGACTTGTACTTGTATTTTCTTAATCCTTGCTTGGTTTGTTTTGATCATCCAGTATGAAACATAATGGAACTGAGAAAATATTTTATTGGAGACAGATACTTGTTTCCCAAGTTATGTCCAATATATATGTTTATAAATTAACAGATCACCTATGTGATTTCTACATTTTCTTACTGGTTATGCATAAGTGCAACTGATTTTGGATATGGTTCCACGATCGATTAGTTTTTAATTGGATCTCAAAAGTATATATGATGATTCATTCCATCTCTTCAAAACAGTTCAAGCCTCAAGAGATGACAGATATCATGAAAGATTTCGATGAGCCGGGTCACCTCGCTCCTACAGGCCTGTTCCTTGCAGGACTAAAGTATATGGTTATCCAAGGCGAGCCTGGTGCAGTCATTCGTGGCAAGAAGGTAACATTAGAAGCATTTTTAGATTAAAATAATGGTTATTTTCGCTCATTCCGAAAATTAGTTTATAAAATGCGTTAAATATATTTCTATTTTTGAAATGTTAATTTCTTTTTGAGGGCTTTATATATGTCTATTTCTAGACATTTTTAGTTTCCTCTTGAGATAGATGCAAATGGAAATTTAGAAATTTCGTTTGAAACAATCACTCTGTGCATCGATAGTTTCTTTGATTTTACATTTTCATTTAGTACCTCGTTAATTACTTTACATAAAACTCACAACATTAAATATATAAGAAAAATTCACTTGTCTATTGTAAATGTAAATGGCGAACGCAAATGGACCTCACAACCTTCTTCTTGACAGTTTTTACTTTTTACTTTAGAAAAAATAATGATGAAGCTTAACTGAAACATGTTATATATTGCAAAACAATGCAAATTTTATATGTAAAAACATTCCGCGCATATGCAAACGTAAACACAGAAAATTCATTTGGAATGATTCATGCTTAAGATTAGGAGAATCGAGTCTTGCAAAGATGGTTTATGGTTAACTATGTATGTAATCACTCGATATCTGATGTTAAGACTCTGTTTCAAACTCTAAACCGTTATTAGCGTTTGGAATTTGCCGGATTCTTATTAAAACGTGTGCAGGGAGCTGGAGGAATCACGATCAAGAAAACAGGACAGTCAATGGTGTTTGGTCTATACGAAGAACCAGTGACTCCAGGACAATGTAACATGGTCGTCGAGAGGTTGGGTGATTACTTGGTCGAACAGGATCTCTGAAACCTTCTAGAATGCTATATTGCTGTTTAAGCCATTGTTTCACTTTTGTTTATGGTTGGGTGCATGGTTTTTTTCTTCATAATTTAATTTTTGGTCTTTCTGGTTCCTACTTTATCAAAGTTTTTTCTAAAAAAAGGCTGAAGCCTAAGGCTTGCAGATAATAACACAAAAGAAGAAGCCTTCCTCTTTAGCATTGTATCCTGATTATTTTTGTTTATTCTGGTTTAATTTTATCTTAACAATTATTTATTGCGTATATGTATATATTCATGAGGTTCTGATTAATATGTATTTTTTTTTTGAAAAAATGTGTTTTGTTTTACCTTAATTGAAATTATAACTTAGCAAAATTATCATATAATATTATAGAAAATAAATGAATATTTTCGCTTCTTGCTTTTTCTCTTAGAAAACATCGAAAATAATAATGTTAAGAAGGAAAAATCTGATATATAACGAAAAATCATAAAATATGGTGGCCACAAGAATACATACATAGATGGCCACGTCAAATTGTCGTTTAGGTAACGTAGAAGGCTTTACTAAGCTGTGTTATGGGGTTCACCGTCTCAACCGAACACAAACACAAACAACATGAGCAATCATCAAACTGTGAGATATAGTTTCCTCTCCAAATCACGTACATTGATTTTATCTGTAATATCGGGTGTGTGTAATCTTTTTGATCGTGTGATTTATGGTCCATGTGAAGCAGGTGTTGAAGCAACTGGAGCCATGGCGTGAGCTCAAAGACAAAGTGGTTCTTGTGACAGGAGCTTCCTCTGGTATAGGAAAAGAGATCTGTCTTGATTTGGGCAAAGCTGGCTGTAAGATTATCGCAGCAGCACGTCGCGTTGACCGCCTCAACTCTCTATGCTCTGATATCAACAGTTTCGGTTCAACCGGAACCCAAGCTGCTTCTCTCGAGCTAGACGTTGCATCGGACGCAGCCACCATTCGTAAAGCGGTTAGGGAAGCTTGGGAAATCTTTGGGAAGATCGATGTGTTGATCAACAATGCTGGAATTAGAGGCAATGTCAAGTCGAGTTTGGATTTGTCGGAAGAGGAATGGGACGAAGTGTTGAGGACCAACTTAACCGGACCATGGTTGGTCTCCAAATACGTCTGTATTTTAATGCGTGACGCTAAACAAGGTGGCTCGGTGATAAACATCTCTTCGATGGCGGGGGTTCACCGTGGTATGCTGCCTGGTGCAGTCGGTTATGCTTGTTCCAAAGGCAGTGTAGATACCATGACAAGGATGATGGCTATTGAGTTAGGTGTTTACAAGATCAGAGTGAACTCGATTGCGCCGGGGTTGTTCAAGTCAGAGATAACACAAGGTCTTATGGTAAAAGAGTGGCTCAAGAAGGTGAACGAGGGGACAGTCCCGTTAAAGACGCAACAGACCGTGAATCCGGGGCTTACCTCTCTCGTTCGGTATCTCATTCATGACTCTTCTCAATATGTCTCTGGCAATACATACTTTGTTGATTCCGGAGCTTCATTACCCGGTCTGCCTGTTTTTTCTTCTCTTTGAACCCCAAATCTTGTGTGTTGTGAACAATAATAAGTTGAATACATTTACACATTCTCCAGCTACATCTTGCTCTCAGCCATGGTCGCATAGTTGTTATGGCGATGGACAATATGCCATTCGTTTGGTCAGATTGGATGCTCTTCTCTAGGTCAGATATCCTATTAGAGTCAGATGTGCATCACTAAATGTTCAATCCCTTGATTCTTATGACATTGTTTGCTTTGAGACTAATCCTTTGTTCTTTTCAAAATACCATATACTTAGTGGAGTAAAACTATATTTAGATATATCGAATATGAGATTCAAATTACTTAATTTACTATAATTGTCCTCTTTTCAAATGAAGGACTACAAAACCTTGATTTGAAATCAATTTGTTGTGGCCATATCTACTATCCAAACGCTCTACTAAAGCCAGATCAGATGACCAAATGACCATATCTACTCCAGACGAAACGAACATTTTATCAGTGTCAGACACTAAATGTCTAGACTTATTCTTGGGTTCAACTCCTATGATGAACCTCTAGACTCATTAACCAATAATATTTGATTATTTAATATTTGATATCTTTTAAAAGCAAAATAATACAGAATTTAAGTTGTATTATATCTTTTAAATAAAATATAAATTAATATTGTTAACAAAATCAGCAGAATACTAAACCTTAAATCTTACACAAATTTAATTTTAAAAGATACTGAATATAAAATAATGCAAATTAAATTCATATACATTTCACACATTAACTTTGTATTATTCTTAAACATTTTTTTTCAAATAACAAAGTATAGTTATATTTTTGCTCCGGCTTTAAAACTGTGGATTTATTTCCAAAATAAATCAAATTTATTTGATATAAATTTATATTTTTGATTATTTATTTACATTTAAATGTTACAAAGAAAACATTATAAATGTGCAAATTATAATATGTTAACCTTTTAACAGAAATTATTTTGATGATGAAATATGTAATCAGGTTTAAATAAAATCAGGATATTTTTACATTTATTAGAATTTTGAATTATTAACGTAATTAATAATATTTGTATTCGAAAAACGTATGTGCAATCGCCCTGTAAGTCTGGGTCCCGAATCCGTTTAATTTTTGACCTATAAAATATTGATTTATTGTATTGATCTAAATTTTTCTAAATTTAATTAATAAGATAATTTCAATATCTATTTGCGACACTTTCATATTTGATATGAATCCACGATAAAAATAGTAAATTGAGTGATTTGCATATAATCCATCTGGGACTTTAGATTAAATTATAAAATTTATATTTAAAAACTCCGTAAAACCTGGTTAGAAACCCATAATATTTTTATTGACCCATGATCCGGTAATGGTTGACCCAAAAAACTAGATAAATCTAACCATCTTTTATTTCTATTTAATTTTAAATTTAATTTCATGATAATTAATATTTAATTTATTTATATGAAAAATTATAATTTGGTAGATAAATTAGTCAACTAATTTGTATTTCATGAAACTGAAATAAATCTAATTATATTTGGTAAATGAAAATAATTTTTATATTAACTTTTTAATGGTAAATAATATTATATTAATATATTATCTATTTTGTTAAAAGGACAGGGTTAGTAAATATAAAGCATAAACTTAGATTTTAAATATTAGTAGTCATCATAATAGTAAGAATAAAGGTGGATATTAATTTACTGGATTAATTGATGTATATTTTTTAAGTAAAGTATTATTAGTTGATTAGCTCTCCCTCTATTTTACATTAGTTTTCATTTTAGGTTTTTACATACAGATTTAGAAAACATTTAATTTTACATATTTTAAAGATAAAAATACAATTACCTATACACCTAACCAATTTTCAACTAATAGTAAAATAGAATAGCATATAAGGTTAATAAATTTTACACTGAAATTATCAAATGACATTTATTTTAAAACAAAAAGTTTACTCTACAATGACAAGTAAATTGAAACGGAGGGAGTACTATATATTGTCCGTACAAAATGTGTAGATTTTTTTTTGTTTAAATGGTTGTAGTTATTATACAGATTTTAATCGAACATATACAATAATTTATTTGTACACTCTCATAAATGTGGTAGTTGTTGATTGTAGAATATATGGATTAAAGGAAAACAATTATAAAATATTTGGTTTATTTTTTGAAAATAGTGGTTACAAAATGTATATTCAAATGCAGTTATAATTGTTGGACATAATATTTTATCAATTGGACATTTTTCTAATTTAATAGTATTGATATTTCTGTCTCCGTGTTTTAATACATAATGTCTTAGAACAATTTGTTTGTTTCAAATTATATGAGCAATGATATTATGCATTGTATTTTATTATTAGTTAAATTATGGTTAAATAAATAATTAATGATACTTTTATTTTGGGAATTTAAAAAATTAAATATTTCTTAATTTATGTATATAATTCTAATATGTCATCTAGTAAAAAGAGAGGAAGCACTTATTTACTATTTCCTCTGTTTCTGGATAAGAGTCACTTTGACATTTTTCACATAGAAAAAAATGATTGAAATGTAATTAAGTTATCACTAATTACACCTATATGACCAATGATATTTAAGATAAATAGAATTCTTTATAGAATCAATGCATTTTACGGTTAATTTTAAGCTGAAAGTAAATATAGTTTGCATTGAAATTCTAAAGTGACATTTTATGTACAAGAAAAAAATGCTAAAATGATACTTACAGTAGAACTTCTATAAATTAATACTCGATAAATTAATAATTTCTATAAATTAATAAATTTTATCCGTCCCAACTTGAACCGGTTCAAAATTTGACACAAATTGATAAAATAATAAGATAATTTTCTATGTAAATATATGGTCCCATTAAAGTATAACTTAATAATTATATGAATACATATTTTAATAAGAACATATCATTATATTGTTTATTTCTTTTATCACAACAGAATTCTTTTTATATTTTCTTAACACTCTATTATATTTTTGATGAGATTTGGTAATATTATGTCTAAAACCACATTTAGATTATAGGCAATATATATTATATACAAAGTAATATAGTAAAATTCATATAAGTGTCAATTTTTTTTTAAAATAATAACTAATGTTTATACATTAAAATTAAATATTTTTTATTTTAGGAAAAAGTATTTTAACAATAAAAAATCCAAACAAGGAAATATTTGTAAATTAATATTTTTATAAATTAATAAAATTTCAAAGTCCCAACATTATTACTTTATAAAGGTTTTACCGTATTATGAAAGAAAAATGAGTATAACAGTTTTTCTTTGTTTCTGTGCTCCCAAGAATCATAGGTTTTAGAGATGCTATAATCATTTTTTGTGATTAATGGAGTCCCAGACTCTATACCAGTCAATGTTTGGCTCAGATTTTTACCGATATGTTGAGTTGAGGCATCAAGCGAACATTAGGCTTGCGCAC